AGGACTACACTTGCGGCTCTTGGGTTTGCTCCTTCTACTGCTGACCCGTCGCTGTTTCTGCGCACCGACACCTCTTTGCCGCCGTTGTACATCCTCGTGTACGTCGACGACTTGGTCTTTGCCACTACTGACACTACTGGACTCGCCCACGTGAAGTCCAAGTTGCAGAAGAGACACACGTGCAAAGAACTGGGTGAACTGCGCAGCTACCTTGGCTTGCAGATCACCCGGGACAGAGCACAGCGCACCATTACCCTGACTCAGTCACACATGGTGCAGCAGGTCCTTCAGCACTTCGGCTTCACGTACTCCTCGCCTCAGGCCACTCCTCTGTCTACTCGCCACTCGCTCTCAGCTCTGCCTTTGGATGAGTCCGTAGAGCCGAGTGGCCCGTACCCAGAGCTTGTTGGCTGCCTCATGTACCTAATGACCTGCACACTACCTGACCGTGCATACCCTCTTAGCATCTTGGCACGCTATGTTGCTCCTAGGAGACACCGACCAGAGCACATGGCTGCAGCGAAGAGGGTATTGCGCTACTTGTGCAGTACGTCGGGCATGGGGCTAGTGCTTGGAGGGCGACGTCGAGTGGTCCTCACAGGTCACGCAGACACTTTTTGGGCTGACGACCAGGCTATGCAGCGGTCGTCACATGGTTACACCTTCAGCCTTGGTTCCGGCTCTGTTTCGTGGCGGTCTACTCGCTCGTCTTCTGTTCTCGGCTCCACCTGTTAGGCCGAGATCTACGCGGGGGCCATGGCTGCATAGGAGTTCCGCTGGCTCACCTACCTGCTGACTGACCTAGGAGAGGCGCCTCGTTCTCCTCTAGTTCTGTACGTAGACAACAAGGCCATGTAGGCCTTGTGTCGAGAGCAGCGCCTGGAGCACAGAACGAAGCACATTGCTCTTCGCTGCTTCCTTGCTCGTGAGCTGCAATAGCGTGGTCAGGTGCGCCTTGCTTACGTGGCCTCTGAGGCCAAAACTGCTGATATCTTTACCAAGGCACTTCCGCCTGGTGACCATCAGCGTTTCTGTACGATGCTAGGTCTTGTGCCTACTTGGCCTCACTTGCTCACTTCTTGACCCTGCTTGTATTGTGATCTTTCTTTACCTGCACTTGCTTGTTTACCTTTATATATGATCTTGCATGTGAACTGGCCTTTTGGCCTTGCTCTTGTGCTCGGATTGTGTGGTGACGTTGTGATCCACCCTGAGCTTGCTTTGCTTTGCTTGACTGGTCTTGTGACCTCTTGTTCTCCCCCACTTTGCTTATGGGGGTCTGTCAAACTCATATGCTATAGTCTGTGTAGGCTGTAGTGGGGTAGAGAATATGGGGTACAACACTTCTAGGTTTTCCTACTTGTACCCACGTGCTTGCTAGTTCATTCATTCCTCATTTCTTCATATCCTGCCCTACTCGAAGCGCGCTACCGCGCCTTCCTGCCGCGCCTCGTGCTTGCCCTGCCGTCGCCGCCGTGCCTGTCGCGGCCCCGCGTGACCCGCCGTTCGTCGCGGCCCTGCTTTGCCGTCTGTTGCGGCCCTGCCCTACCGCCCTAAGTCGCGGCCCCGCCCTGCCGCCCTACGTCGCGGCCCCTGACCTGCAGCCTCCGTCACGGCCCCTGACCTATCGCCCCACGTCGCGGCCCGTTACTTGCAGCTGCCGTCGCGACCCCTTCTCTGCAGCCGCCGTCGCGGCCCCTGCTCTGCAGCTGCTGTCGCGGCCCCTGCCCTTCAGCCTCCGTCGCGGCCCCGTGGCCTGCAGCAGCCGGCCCGCCTGCTACCGCTGTTGCAGCCCTGCTGCCGCCGTCGAGCCTGCAGCCGCCGCCGTCGCCGCCGCTGAGGCCCCGCCGTCGCGCCTGCCCTGCTCGCCCCTGGTGAGCACCCACCCTTAGCGCGCCAACCGCACCTGCTTGCTGGCCGCTCAGCCAACTGCACCGCTCAGCCGAGCCGCGCTACCCAGTCGAGCCGAGCTGCTCCGTGTTAGAAACTAAGGACGGAGTCAATGAAGATTAGGAGCCTAAATTTCTCAAAATCGTTGGCTTGAAATTCTGGACAGAATCGTCGAGTTCACAAGAAACGCCGTCGACGAAAAACGCACCGTCAAAACTTCACGAATTTCAGATATGTTGTAGCTCTAATCCATGGCTACAATTCCCAAGTTGAATCGTGTGATAAGGTGAAGTATTTCTCGAGTTATCAATTTTGGCGCACTAGGGGGTATGCTGCCACATGCTTAACTCAATCACAATGGTTCTCACAAGTTCCACAAAGTTACACACAAGAGAGTTAGAGTAGCACTAAACCAGGTAGGATGGGATGAGGAGGACGAGAAGGAAGGTCCCAAGACAGTCCCCAACCAAGGAAACTCCATGCCACACAATTCCCTTCCCCATAGGCAACCCAACTTTGACCTTTGTCACTATCCCAACCTCCACAATCCACCTCAACCCAACTTGGCCACACTTGCCAACCTGGTTTGGTTTCTCCCAACCAATTGGCAGCAACTACAGTAGTAGTGACGAGTTTCCCAACCCCCAAAAGTCTGTACCCCATATTGAGTCAACCCCACAACTTCCCATAGTCACCACAACCAAATATCAAAAGCATACGAACTCCAACTTTCGTAACTTTCTTGTTCGTGCTCCGATTGAAGCGATACTTGGTTCGTCGGAAAGCTCTTGAGCAGAGGAGTCACTTCAGATATCTGCTCAAGCCAAATAACATTCACACACACTCAGAAAAATCAAACCACATCAAACACAAATTCTTGCGCACGCTCATTTCACACATGCAACGCACGAACACATGATGGGAGGCAGACAGACGTGAATGCAAATGATAGCATCACATAACACTCCGCCGGGTCGCGCCGCCCAGCCGAGCCGCGCCGCCCAGCCAAGCGGCGCCGCACTGCCCTACTAAGCCGCGCTGCCCTGACCGCGCTGCTCCTGTTGCTGGTGCTGTTTCTACTGCTACTGCTACTTCTGCTGCCACTGCTGCTACTGCCGCCATGGCTAGCCCTACGGTTCTTACCTTCAATGCTGAGGGCCTTGCTGTTGATTTCAATGTCTGGGTAGATGATCTGCAGCTGTTTCTTCAGTGCGATAGCAAGGACGAAGTCTCGCCTTTTGACCTCACGTCTAGCGCCTCTGCTGCACCTGCTGCCGATGCTGACAGTACAGTTCCTTTGTAGTGGACTACTCGTGACGCTGTTGCTCGCCTTGCTGTTCATAGTCACTTTCCTTCTGCTGAGCGCGCGCAATTTAGCTAGTACAAGACTGCTAAGTCTTTGTATGACGATGTCGTAGCGCGCTACTCCTCCCCTTCCACTGCTACCCTCAGCCGCCTCATGCTACCGTACCTGTTCCGTGACCTGGCCGCCTTTGCTACAGTCGCTGACCTCATTACTCACCTCCGCACTAGTGACACCCGCTACCGCGCTGCCCTTCCCCCCGAGTTCTGCGCCAAGAACCTGGCCCCCATGTACATCACCCTCTTCTACCTAGTCACCCGTCTCCTTGACTCCCTTTCCTCAGTCAGGGACCACTTTCTCTCCCTTTGCCCCACTACGCTCACCGTCGACGTGCTAGAGGAGCGCCTCACTGCAGCTGAGAAGAGTATAGTTGCTGTAGGTGCTTCTCGCGGCGACCTTCGCGCCCCATTCTTTGGGGGGTGTTCCCCCGTTCCCCTTCTGCCCTCTGTTGGTTCTGCTACTGCTGTTGACCTCCTTGACACCGAGGAGGTCGAGGCTGCGTCTGCTCCCAGTGGAAGGCGCCGCAGCAGCAAGGGCAAGGGGGGCAAGGGTGGTGGAGGGGATGGCCGGGGCGGCGGTGGTGGCGGTGGAGGAGGCAGAGGGGGTGGGGGTGGAGGCAAGGGTGGTGGTGGGAATGGGGGCGTCGGTGGCGGCGGTGGAGGTGGTGGAGGCAGCGGCAGCGGTGGTGGAGGCAGCGGCAACGGCAGTGGAGGCGGCGGAGGAGGTGGCAGAGGCGGTGGTGCTGGTCGGGGTGGAGCTGCGCAGCGTGGAGACTTTGGCGGCAGCCAGCGCCAGCAGCAGCTGCGTTCCCGCGAGACCCCGATGCCCTAGCAGCTTCATGACTGGTACACTGGGCGTGGGAGGTCTGGGGGTGCTGGTCCCTGCACGTACGTTCTCCGCACCGGGGGGCGCCGTGGGGAGACGTGCGGAGGGCCACACACGTCGCAGTGCTGTTTCGGTCGCCTATCTGACGCCTGGCGCGTCGAGTTTCGAGACGCCACCGAGCTCCCTAGTTGGGCTGATCTGCTTAGACAAAATATTGACATATTTGCTTCTGTCTATGATGCTATCCTTGCTGCCATGTATGCTGTAAAGATTAGTGCTGAGGGTGACTGTTACCTGTGTGTGCCGCCCGAACCTGGTATAGAGTCTACTGCTCCAGGTACCTGGTGAGGCTGCTGCTCTAGGTGCTAGTGAGTCTGTCGCTCCAGGTGCTGGTGAGTCTGCTCTCTCTAATACTTCGCCTGCTAAGGCCTTGCACACCTTCACACTTGACTCAAGTGCTTCTCGCTCTTTCTTTCGCGATAGCACTACACTCAAGCCGCTCACTCGGCCCGTTGCAATCTCCCTGGCGGACCCCTCTGTGGGTCCCATCCTTGCACACTCCTCTACGCACTTGCCGTGTCATGCTGTCCCGTCTGGCTCACTGTCAGGTCTCCACCTCCCCTCATTCTCTACAAACTTGGTGAGTGGAGCTGCCCTCCAGGATGCATTGGTAGACCAGTTCACTCCTGGACGCCAGCGGGTGACCCACTGTACGTGCTCCCGGACCGGTCAGCACCTGGCCACGTTTACCCAAGCTCCTAGCTCGAGTCTGTACACACTGACTACTATGCCCCCTCAAGTAGCTGCGTCTGCGTTTGCGTCAGGCCAGCTAGCGGCCCCCTGCTCGTGTTACCCTCTATCGCACCAGACTGTCCTCTGGCACCACCGTCTTGGTCACCCCTCCGTGCAGCGCCTTTGAGGCATGCACCGCCGTATCCTTGTCGCTTGTCTTCCCAGGGTTCTCCCTCCCCTCCCTCCCTCGCCTGCTCATCCTTGTCTTCCCTGTGTCGAGGGGCGGCAGCGCGCCGCTCCTCACTCCTCGTTTCCCCCGACGACTGCTCCCCTGCAAACCCTACATCTAGACGTGTGGGGCCCAGCCCGCGTTCGTGAATAGGACCGCGAGCAGTACATTTTGCTGGTTGTTGATTACTACTCGCGTTACACCACGGTCTTCACCTTGCGCACCAAGGGTGAGGTCCCTGATGTTTTGATCCCGTGGATCCGCGCTACCCGTCTCCAGCTCCGTGAGCGGTTCGGGACGGACTTTCCCGTCCTGCGTCTGCACTCCGACAGAGGTGGTGAGTTTGCCTCTGACTTCCTGATGGACTTTTGTCGTGGGAAGGGCATTCACCATGCGTTCACGCTCCCGTCCTCACCACAGCAGAATGGGATTGCTGAGCGCCGCATTGGATTAGTCATGGAGGTCGCTCGTACCTCCATGGTCCATGCGGCTACCCCCCAGTTTTTGTGGCCGTTTGCAGTCCGTTACGTGGCGCATCAGCTCAACCTCTAGCCCCGTGTCTCCTTGCCGGAGACCTCGCCCATACTGCATTGGACGGGGAAGGTTGGCGATGCGTCGGTGTTTCGTGTCTGGGGTTCTCGTGCCTTTGTCCGCGATACCACCGCGGACAAGCTCTCCACCCAGGCTATTCCCTGCGTCTTCCTTGGCTTTGTCCGTGACGTGCCTGGTTGGCAGTTTTACCACCCCACCTCGTGCCGTGTCCTGCCCTCTCAGAATGTCACGTTCAACGAGTCAGTTCCCTTTTACCGCCTCTTCCCCTACCACACTGCTTCTCTCCCCCCCCGCTGCCGCTCTTCCTTGCCCTAGGTCCTCCTCCGATAGACCCCCTCCCCCCTCAGGGTCCTGCTCCCTCAAGTGTATCCCAGGTAGACGCTGTTGAGCTTGTCGAGGTAGCGGTTGACTCTGGTGGTGCTGCTGGGGGTGCTGATCCTGAGTGTGTGGAGCCTGGGGGTGATGAGCCTGAGCATGTGGAGCCTGGGGGTGCTGAGCTTGAGTGTGTGGAGCCTTGGGGTGCTGAGCCTGAGCGTGTGGAGTCTGGGGGTGCCGAGCCTGGGGTTGCTAAGTCTGAGGGTGTGGAGCCTGGGGGTGCTGAGTCTGAGGGTGCTAAGCTTGCGATCGCTGAGACTGGGGGTGCTGAGTCTGCTAGAGTTCCTGCGGGGGCCTCGTCTCGGCAGGAGGCTCGCTCCCTACAGCAGCTGCGCGAGTGGTTTGCTTGCTACTGGAGACGCCAGCGAGGTGCTGCTGGAGCTGCTGGAGGTACTGCTGGAGGAGTTGGAGCTACTGGAGCTGCTAGCGGAGCTGGAGCTGCTGGAGCTAGAGGTGCTGCCAGAGCTGGAGCTGCTGGAGGTACTGCTGGCGCTGGAGCTGCTGGAGGAGCTGGAGATGCTGGTCCCAGAGGTGCTCGTACTGGAGCTACTGGAGCTGCTGGGGCTGGTGGTGCTGCCGGGGTTGCTGCTGGAGGTGCTTCGGGAGCTGGAGCTGCTGGAGGTGCTGGAGCTGGTGGTGCTGTGGGAGTAGGAGCTAGAGACCCTGGCGGTGGGGGTACTTGTGCTGTCTCTGCTGCTTCTGGAGGCGCTGTGAGGCCGCGGCCGTACTTTGTTCTGCTTCTTCAGCAGGTTCTTGACCTCCTGCCTTCTACAGGTCCCACTCTTCCCTTACTGTATCCACAGCCTGCCCAGCCATAGTCGCAGCTAGAACCAGCCTCTCCTCTGCTTGGTCCTTCTCCTTACTCTCGTCCTACTAGAGGTCTTACGGAGCGTCGTGAGACTGAGTCTCCTCCTGCGTTGCCTGAGTTTCATCCTTCGTCGCCTGTTCGCACTCTTCGCACTAGTCGTCATGTCCCAGGCACGCACGAGATGACACTTCGTCCTTCCACTGCTCCACTACGCGTCCCCTTGCCGTCTATTCCTGCGTCCTCTCTTGCTGACGGTCCGGACCCGGAGTCTGACTCCCTTCGTGCTGCTAGTCCTACTGTCACGCGTCTACTGGCCACTGTTGTCACTGACCCATCGTTTGAGTCCACTGCTGCGTCTCCCCTAGTTGCTGAGCTTGTTGACTTTGCTACCGCCTTACGTCTAGACTACGCCGCTAGTCTTCTTGCTGAGTCTGAGTCTGTCTGTCCTCCGTCCGTCGGGGGTGAGTGTGCTCTTGACACGGACGTCGTTGAGGACAGGCAGGAGGACTTTGAGTGCTTTGCCGCTGCTTTACCTCATCTCGTGTCCATGCTGATTGCCCCTGAGGGAGACCCGTATGCACCAGACATCCCGACCCCGCGCTCTTACGCAAAGGCGATTGAGGGTCCCTACTCCTCTCAGTGCTAGACAGCCATGGACGTAGAGATGGCTTCCTGGAAGTCCATAGGAACCTACGTCGACGATGTTCCCCTGCCTGGGGCTATCATCGTCAGTGGCATGTGGATTTTCAGGGTGAAGCGGTCGCGAGGTTCTCCGCCTGTCTTCAAGGCGCGTTTCGCTGCACGAGGCTTCAGTCAGCGAGAGGGATTTGACTTCTTCCAGGCCTTCTCCCCCACCCCGAAGATGACCACTATTTGGGTTCTGCTGCGCATAGCTGCTCGGCGTGACTACGAGCTGCACTCTCTTGACTTCAGCACTGCTTTCCTGCAGGGCAGCCTTAACGAGGAGATCCGGCTGCGCCGCCCACTTGGCTTCATTGGGTCGTTTCCTGCTGGTACCCAGTGGAGCCTCCGGCGGCCAATCTACAGTCTCCGCCAAGCGCTACGTAAGTGGCACGACACACTGAGGACGACGCTTGCAGCTCTTGGCTTTGATCCTTCCACTGCTGACCTGTCGCTGTTTCTACGCACCGACGCCTCTCTGCCGCCGTTCTACGTCCTCGTGTACGTTGATGACTCAGTCTTTGCCACTGTTGACACTGAGGGACTCGTCCACGTGAAGTCCGAGCTGCAGAAGAGACACACATGCACAAGCCTGGGTGAGCTGCGCAGCTATCTTGGCTTGCAGATCACCCGGGACAGAGCAGAGTGCACCATTACTTTGACTCAGTCACACATGGTGCAGCAAGTCCTTCAGCGCTTCGGCTTCACGTACTCCTTGCCTCAGCCCACTCCTCTGCCTACTTGCCACTCGCTCTCAGCTCTGCCTTCGAATGAGTCCGTAGAGCTGAGTGGCCCGTATCCAGAGCTTGTGGGCTGTCTCATTTACCTGATGACCTGCAATCGACCTGACCTGACATACCCTCTTAGCATCTTGGCACGCTATGTTGCTCCTGGGAGACACACGAAGGAGCACATGGATGCCGCTAAGAGGGTGTTGCACTACTTGCGCAGTACGTCGGGTATGGGGCTCGTGCTTGGAGGACGGGCTCGAGTTGTGCTCACTAGTCACGCAGACGCTTCGTGGGCTGACGACTTGGCTACGCAGCGGTCGTCACAGGGTTACACTTTCAGCCTTGGCTCCAGCTCTATTTCTTGGCGGTCTACCCGCTCGTCTTCTGTTCTCAGCTCCAGTTGTGAGGCTGAGATCTACGCAGGGGCCATGGCTACACAGGAGTTACGCTGGCTCACATACCTGCTGACTAACCTGGGAGAGCCGCCTCGTTCTCCTCCAGTGCTGTACGTCGACAACAAGGCCATGATTGCCTTGTGTGAGGAGCAGAGACTGGAGCACAGGACGAAGCACATCGCTCTGCGCCACTTCCTTGCTCGAGAGCTGAAGCAGTGTGGCCAGCTTCCTCTTGCTTACGTGGCCACTTGGGCCAATACTGCTGATGTCTTCACCAAGGCACTTCAGCCTTGTGATCATCAGCTTTTCTGTACTGTTCTAGGCCTTGTGCCCACTGGGCCTCACTTGCTCACTTCTTGACTTTGCTTGTACTGTGATCTCTATACATATGCCTGCATGCTTACTCTTGCTAGGTTGTGATCACTGTATTGTTTGTTCGTCTTTATATAACTCTGCATGTGAACTGGCCTTGTGGCCATTTGCTTGTGCTAAGTATGTGTGGTGACGTCGTGATCCATCCTGAGCTTGCTTGCCTCTCTTGACTGGTCTTGTGACCTCTTGTTCTCCCCCACTTTGCCTATGGAGGTGTGTCAAACTTATGTACTATAGTTTGTGTAGGCTGTAGTGGGGTAGGCAATTTAGGGTATAACACTTTTAGGTTTTCCTACTTGTACCCACCTGCTTGCTAGTTTATTCACTTCTCGTTCTTATTTTACAAGTACTTGTACTCAGTTTGATTTCAATGCAATCATTCCTTCTCATTAGCTTTTGACATGGTTTTAGAGCAGTAGGGCCGAAGGACCGTTTTTTTTGTGGTTACCGCGTTACTCCACTCCCTGCTCTACACAGCGCCGTCAGCGCGCGCCCTGCCCTGCCCTGACCTGCCTTGCGTCATACTGCCCGTGTACGCCCTGCCCTGCCCCGCGTCGTGCCGCCCTGCGTACGCCCTGCCCTGCCCCGCGTCGCGCTGCCCCGTGCACGCCCTGTCCTGTCCCGCGTTGCGCTGCCCCACGCACGCCCTGCCCTGCCCTGCGTCGCGCTGCCTCGTGCACGCCCTGCCCTACCCTGCATCGCGCTGCCCTGCGCACGCCTTGCCCTGCCCCGCGTCGCGCTGCCCTGCGCACGCCCTGCCTTGCCCCATGTCGCGCTGCCCCGTGCACGCCCTGCCCTGCCCCGTGACGCTCTGCCCCGCGCACACCCTGCCCTGCCCCGCGTTGCGCTGCCCCACGCACGCCCTGCTGCAGCCTGTGCGTCGCGCTCAACTGCTCCGCTCATCGCGCCCTGCTGTAACCTGCACGTCGCGCCCTACGGCAGCCCGCGCGTTGTGCTCTCCTGCCCCGCGCGTTGCGCTCTGCTGCAGCCCGCGCGTCATGCCTTGAGCCCCGCGCGTCACGCCCTGCTGCAGCCCGCGCGTCGCGCCCTGCTGTCCTGCGCAGCGCGCGCCCTGCTGCCCGTGCTGCCCAGGCCGAGCTGCGCCACCCTGCCCAACCCGATCCGCCCTGCTGCTCGTGCTACTGCTACTGCTGGTGGAGGTGCTGCTAGGAGTAGTGGAGGTGCTCGTGCTACTGCCTTCCCTCTGTACTACCCTACTGTTCGCGCGCCTCCTTGCTTGCCCGCTACGACTTCACTTTGTAGTAGCGGTGGGAGTGGTGACGGGGGTGGTGGCAGTAGTAGGAGTGGTGGCGGCCGTAGTAGCAGTCACTGTGGAGCTGTTCGGTGGGGAGTTTCAAGCGGTGGCCAGATGCAGCTGCAGCGGCGTCCGCGCAAGACCCTTACGCCCCAGCAGCTTCGTGAGTGGTACGTCAGTAGGTGTGGTGGTGTCGGGCGTAGTAGCAGTCGCGGTGGAGCTGTTCAGTGCGGAGTTTCTGGCGGTGGCCAGGTGCAGTTGCAGCGGCGTCCGCGCGAGACCCTTACGCCCCAGCGGCGTCTGGTGTTTTGTGAGTGGTACGCTCATGGTGGGGGGACTTGGACAACTGTCCGCTGCGCGTAGGTTATTCGCACAAGTGATCGGGTTGGTCAGACTTGCGGGACAGTTGGTCACACACAGTCTCGCTACTTCGCCTGTCTGAGCGACGCCTGGCGTGCAGTGTTTGGCGACGAGGCTGAGCTCCCTCGCTAGCTAGAGCTGCTTCAAAACAATTTGGATATCTTTGCTTTAGACTATGACACTATCCTCACTACCATGTATGCTTTGATTATTAAAACTCAAGGTGACTGTTACCTGTGTGTGCCGCCTGACCCTGGTATAGCGGCTGCTGCTTTAGGTGCTGGTGAGTCTGCTCTAAGTGCTGGTGAGTCTGCTCTAGGTGCTGGTGAGTCTGCTCTCTTTGGTACTTCGCTTGCTGAGGCCTTGCACACCTTCACGCTTGACTCAGGCGCTTCCCGCGTCTTTCGCGACAGCACCACAGTCACACCACTCGCAACACCGGTTGCAGTCTCTCTGGCTGACCCCTCTAGGGGACCGGTTCTTGCACGTTCCTCCACTGTTCTCCCGTGTCCGGCGGTTCCGTCTGGCTCACTGTGAGGTCTTCACCTCCCCTTGTTCTCTACGAACTTGGTGAGCAACGCCGTCCTGAACGATGAATGGGTTAATCCCGTTATTCCTGGAGGACAGCATGTGGCGATCTGCACGTGTGCACGGACGGGCCGTCACCTGGCCACGTTCACCCGTCGGCCTGGGTCGAGCCTGTACACACTGACTACTGAGCCTCCTCAGATAGTTGCGTCTGCATCCGCGTCAGGTCAGCTAGCAGCCCCCTGTTCGTGTCGCCTCGTGTCACGCCAGACTCTCCTTTGGCACCACCGCCTAGGTCACCCCTCCCTGGCACGCCTCCGTGGCATGCAGTCCCGCCTCCTTGTCTCTGGTCTTCCCAGGTCTTTGCCAGCCCTTCCACCCTGGCCTGCCCCTCCTTGACTTCCCTGTGTCGAGGGGCGGCAGCGCCACTCCTCACTCCTCCTCGTTTCTCCCGACGACTGCTCCCCTGCAGAATCTCCACATGGACGTGTGGGGCACAGCCCGCGTCCAGGGACAGGGCCACGAACGATACTTTCTGCTGGTTGTTGACGACTACTCGCCTTACACCACGGTCTTCCCCTTGCGCAGCAAGGAGGAGGTCCTTGATGTTTTGATCCCTTGGATCCGCCCTGTCCGTCTCCAGCTCCGCGAGCGGTTGGACACAGACCTTCCCGTACTACGTCCGCACTCTGACAGAGGTGGTGAGTTTTCCTCCGACCTCTTGCGAGACTTTTGTCGTGGGGAGGGAATCCTCTAGACATTCACGCTTCTGGACTCTCCGCAGCACAATGGGGTTGCTGAGCGCCGCATTGGCTTAGTCATGGAGGCCGCTTGTACCTCCATGACCCATGCAGCTACTCCCCATTTTCTATGGCCGTTGGCGGTCCGGTACGCTGCGCATCAGGTCAACCTCTGGCCCCGTGTCTCCTTGCTGGAGACCTCGCCTACACTGCGCTGGACAGGAGAGGTTGGCGATGCGTCGGTGTTCCGGGTCTGGGGCTGTTGTGCCTTTGTCCATGATACCTCTGCGGACAAGCTCTCCTCGCACGCTGTTCTCTGCATCTTCCTTGGCTTTCCCCTTGACGTGCCAGGCTAGCAGTTTTACCACCCCACCTCGCGCTGTGTCCTACCCTCTCAGGACATCACGTTCGACGAGTCGGTTCCCTTTTACCATCTCTTCCCCTACCTCAATACCCCCCCCCCCCCCTCCACCCCCCCTCGCCCCCCCCCCCCCCCCCCCCCCCGCGCCGCTCTTTCTCGCTCCAGGTCCCCCACCGATAGACCCCCTTCCCCCTCAGGGTCCTGCTCCTTCATGTGTGTCTCAGGTAGACCCACTCCCCTTGGTTGAGCCAGTCGAGGTCACTGGTGACTCTGGTGCTGCTCGGGGTGCTGTGTCTGGTGGTGCTGAGCCTGCGGTTGCATAGCCTGAGCGTGCGGAGCCTACGGGTGTGGAGCCTGGGGGTGCTGAGCCTGCGGGTGCGGAGCCTGGTGTTGCTGAGTCTGGGGGTGCTGCGCCTAGGGGTACTACTTCTCCACTACGGGAGCCTCTCTCACCGCCGCAGCCGCGCGAGTGGTACGCTCAGCAGCTCCGCCTTCGGAGTGTCGCTCCTGGAGAGGGAGGCCTTGGAGCTGAGCGTTCTGGAGGTGCTCAAGGTACTCGTACTGGAGGTACTAGAGCTGTCAGAGCTGGTGGTGCTGTTGGTGCTGGTGGTGCTGGTGGTGCTGGCACTACTAGTCCTGGAGGTGCTTGTACTGGAGGTTCTGGAGCTACTCTCTCACCGCAGCAGCCGCGCGAGTGTGACGCTCAGCAGCTCCGCCTTCGGAGTGTCGCTGCTTGAGAGGGAGGCCTTGGAGCTGACCGTCGTGGAGGTGCTGGAGGTACTCGAACTGGAGGTACTGGAGCTGCCGGAGCTGGTGGTGCTGTTGGTGCTGGTGGTGTTGGTAGTGCTGGCACTACTAGTCCTGGAGGTACTCTCTCGCCGCAGCAGCTACGCGATTGGTACGCTCAGCGTTGCCATCTTCAGAGTGGCGCTTCTGGAGCTGGAGGCATTGCGGCTGGATACGATGGAGCTGGAGCTGCTGACCCTGGAGGTGCTCGTACTGGGGGTACTGGAGCTGCCGGGGCTGGTGGTGCTGCTGGTGCTGGACGTGGTGGTGGTCTTGGCACTGCCAGTCCCGGAGGTGTTCGTCCTGGGGGTGCATGAGCTATTAGCTTTGGAGACCCTGAAGCTGGAGGCGGTGGCGCTGGAGACGCTCGGGCTGGCAGCCCTGGAGTTGGAGCTACTGGTCCTGGAGGAACTAGTACTCTAGATACTGGAGCTGCTGGAGCTGGTGGTGCTGCTGGTGCTGGAGGTGCTGGTTGTACTGGCACTGATGGTCCCGGAGGTGCTCGTCATGGAGGTGCTGGAGCTGCCGGAGCTGGTGGTGCTGCGGGCTCTGGAGCTGGAGGCGCTGGCGCTGGAGGCGCTAGAGCTAGAGGCGCTGGAGCTAGAGGTACTGGAGCAGGAAGCGTTGGAGCTAGAGGTGCTGTTGCTGGAGATTCTGGAGCTGCTGAAGGCGCTGGAGCTGCTAGTACTCATACTGGAGGTGCTGGTGCTGGTGGTACTAGTGCTGGTGGTACTGCACAGCCGCGACTGTTCTTTGCTCCGCCGTCATCGTCGTCTCTGCTACCGCTTGACTCGGTACTTCGCCATGTTCTTAGCCTTCCGTCTTCTACTAGCCTCCCGCTACAGCCAAGCTCCCAACTGCCTACTCCTTCTTCTTACACTGAGCAGACAGACTTGCTTACAGAGCGTCGTGAGCCTGCGTCTCATCCCGCCTTGCCTGTTCACGCTGTTCGCACTCG